AAGCTCTGTAACCTTTCCTTAAGGTTCTGAAGTATGTTGTTTAGGACAGACATACATATGGCAAAAGCAGATATTGTAAGGGTGGTCATACACATTACAATATGAATGTACAATGTCTGTACAATCTCCTTTACATTTATTAAACCTGAGTAAAGTGAGGACAAACCTAAACAGTCAATTTAATTTGTAATCAGTTGTGCAGGCACTTTACATAGATCTATAGGAGATTGTAAAATCAGATTATATAATGTGTGGTCATCTTTAGATTGCCACCGTTATCCCTCCTGCTTACACTGATCAGCCATATCATTATGACCACTGACAGGGAAAATATAAATAACACTGAATATCTCGTTACAATGGCACCTGAAAGTGGATGGGATATATTAAGGAGCAAGTGAACATGTTGTCCCTGAAGTTGAGGTTTTGAAAGAATGGGTAAATGTAAGGATTTGAACAACTTTGACAAGGACCAAATTGTAATACCTAGATGACTGGGTCAGAGCAACTCCAAAACTGCAGCTCTTGTGGGATGTTCTCAGTCTGCAGTGGTCAGGACTGACCAAGAGTGGTCCAAAGAAGGAAAACCTGCAACAGGGTCCTGCACAGCCAAGACATTTTTATGCACATATGGCGTGAAGGTTGGTTTTGTAGTCCAGGTCAATAAAAGCGCTACTGTAGCTCTAATTACTAAAAAAGTTCATGCTGGTTCTGATAGAAGGATGCCAGAACACACAGGGCATCGCAGTTTGTTGCGTAGCTGTAGACAGTCAGGGTGCCCATGCTGACCCACTACAGAACAATGGAAGAAGGTTGCCTGGTCTAATATATCATGTTTTCTTTTACATCATGTGGATGGTTGGGTGCATGTGCTTTGCTTACCTGGGGAAGAAATGGCACCAGGTTGCACTATGGGAAGAAGGTAAGCCAGTGAAGGCAGTCTGATGCTTTGTGCAATGTTCTGCAGGGAAGCCTTGCATCCTGCCATTCATGCAGATTTTACTTTGCCCTGTACCACCTATCTAAACATTGATGCTGACCAAATATGCCACTTCATGGAAACGGTATTCCCTGATTGCATTGGCCTCTTTCAGCAGGATAATGCACACTGCCACATTGCAAAAATGGTTTAAGAATGGTTTGAGGTGTTGATTTGGCCTCCAAATTCTCCAGCCCTCTATCCAATTGAGCATCTCTGGGAAGTACCGCAAAAACAAGTTTAATCCATGGAGGCCTCACTTCGCAACTTACAGGATTAAAGGATCTGCTACCGATGACTTGGCAGCATGCCTTCAAAGATCTAGTGGAGTTCATGGCTTGACAGGTCAGGGCTATACTGACAGCAAAAGGGTGACTTAGTCAATATTAGGTGGGTGATTATAAAGTTATGGCTAAGCGATGTATATTGCCCATGGCAATTGTTTTTCCCCAGTAGAGGTTGGACAGTAACACAAGACTACAGAGCAATCCCATCCCTAGTACGCACTCCATCTAGCCAGAAGAGATAACCTAACTACAAACTGACTCTAAACTGTGTCTAACATTTAGAGCAGATACAGTATGACACCCTGAGATACAACAGTGGTCTGAGTGGAACTAAGCTTCCAGGCATCACATCATGTCTTCTTAGGGCCAGCTCACCTTAAAGAAGCAGTCGTTTTAAACCATTGAGAGTGCTCCTGGTTACCCTCAATGTTCCCCTCTTTTCTAGTAAGTCTTCATACTCGCTGCTGAAGTACAACCTTGGGTGTGCTTAAGTTGGGTAGACAACAGCCCAAGCACTGTCACAAGATTGTGGTCACCTCCCCCACATACCATAAAATCCAGTTCTGTTAGAGCAGTGTTTCTCAACTCCAGTCCTCATGGACCCCCAACAGGTCATGTTTTCAGGATTTCCCTCAGATGAAACAGCTGTGGTAATTACTAAGGCAGTGAAACTGATCAAATCACCTGTGCAAAATAATGGAAATCCTGAAAACATGACCTGTTGGGGGTCCATGAGGACTGGAGTTGAAAAACACTGTGTTAGAGCAACATAGACAAAAGGTAGCGAGGAAGAATAGGTTAGTGTTTGTATTCTTCTACACTCTATCCAAAACTGAAAAAACCTTTGAATTTAGATTTATTTTAAAGCTAAGTTCACCCTTTGTACCATAATACACTTATTTTTAGGGTGTAACAGCCTCCCCTTTAAAATCGGCAGAGCACCGCCCACACTGCCGCATAATACATTCGCAGGGATGTGACTGAATAAACTACCACAATGCAGACAGACTTGTAGTTAAGAGTACAGTAATTAGTGCACTCGTAGTCCATTGACACTTCCTCCAGCTTTCTATCTAAGGTGTGGGCAGAGATCTAGAGGAAGAGTCTGCAGGAGCTGACATTGCACCTGAGGTCCACTGATCACGAATGTGTTTCAGGCTCCTGTGGGAGAAAATCATAAAGGCACATTTTTTTTTCTGCAAAAATATGCACATCCAATATTTTTTTTTTTTTCCTTAAAAGTGATCTTAGCCAATAACACCCCTAACATTCTAGCAACAATTACAGTTTACAACTGTTACCCCAGAGAAAAGACGCAAAAGCATTTCCTTGAGTGTTAAGTAGCAAAAAAAAAAAAAAAAAAAACGAAAGAAAAGGTCAACTGGGGAGTAGATTGGGTCTGGTTAAAACAGTTAAAAAACTAAGGACTACAAGGAAGGAGTAATTGAGCCACATGCACCCTAAACACTAGTTTGAAATACTTTGCAAATAAATGTTTAGTAAATGTTTAGATCAGGACTTGTATAGCAATGAGTACATTGAGAGCATGCTTACCATGGAGGTAACCCCATTTTCGCAGCTAAGGACGCCCAGCGTGTGTCTGCGCCAGATACAACAAGCCAGAGAATGGTAGTCTCTCACATCAGTTTAAATAGCAGTAGAAATATGCATGTGGGTAGAGTAATTCACTGTACATTATAACAAAATGTCATCTAGCCTGCTATTAAAGTGAAAAAATCATTACAATAATCGGCTTGAATATAAACAAACTCTGCAGTGTAACTTTCAAAGTTATTGGAAAATATAACCATCATTAACAACACTAAAGTTTTAAAAAATACTTTAAACATTTATTTGATTATTTATTATTATAGCAGAAGCAATATATCTGCTCTTATAAATTAATCCAGCAGCTACAGTTCATAAAGTAAATAAAGCACTTATAGGAGATGCATGGCCAAAACTTTTTGGGCCCTACTTCTCCTATGGATCACAGGAGTGCAGTTTTTTTCTGAACCACTGTGACCCATTTTTAGCCAACAGCAGGCTAGAGCCCACTATCGGCTGATGTCACTCAACTGGAAAAAGCTCAGGAAAGATCCTGACTTTACGGTAGGGATCCACCAAGATGACTGGATCGGCAGCTAGCTCAGCGTGTCGCTGGGAACCTGAGCCAGCCGCTCCCATTCCCTGCATAGCCCAGCGTTCCAGTGAGCCCTAGAGGGGCAGAGCAGAGAGCTGGTGACTGACAGCCACTGCTCTCTGCTCAATGAATGAGAACAGAGCAATCAAGTTCTCAGCCTTAGAATCAGTGGGGGACAGATGCAGCATTAGACTGATGCTGCATCCAGTTAAAGAACCCCATACTTCTTTTAAAGGATGCAAAATAAACTTTTTATACTGTAAATCTGTTGATTAAAATACATAACAATATAAAGTTGCTCTGCTCATGTGTACAAAGTGCACGCAGCACCATAATAACTGCTTGAACAAATAGATCCACTTGTTATGGCTCAGCTGACCCGTTTCATCAAATTATTGACTTTTTTAAAGGCAGAACTATACATTACATCATCACTATACATTACGAAAAAAATTCCTACATATCTAGCTAGCAGTCTACTGAAAAAAGTAAACTTATTACAGGAATTGGCTTGAATGTGAGAACTTTGCAATTTAACTTTCACGGTTCATAGAAAATATAATCACCGTTCCTAACACTAAGATTTCACGACTAGTTTAAACATTGATTTTTATATTCAAAATTTAATTTCCAGAGTTTGTCCCCGCTTCATATTAAACTGAAAGAGATTGGATTTGTTTTGGACATCAAACTGATTTCAGTGGGATAGTGGTTGCCTAACATCAATATTTTTGGTCTGTCATTTATTGTTTTTTCTAAAAGTAGGTTGGTACTGGAGGTGTGTGGCTGCACTTGACCATTTCTCTATACCCCAGAGGAACTCTGGAACCCCTGATAAAACCAATTAATTGGGATTCAATAGGATAATGCACCTTACCTTGGTGGCCAGTAGGAAGACAGACCCATTTACAGTAGTGGTCAGAATTGCCACCATTACAGACAACTAAAGAGATCATTGGGAGTCATGCCATTGACTGTGCTGAGTGGTGTTGGCCCTGGAACTTTGCAAGCACTTGGGAAGTCAATTAATCATTGCTCAAGGAACCCCTAGCAACCTTGGGAGGAGCCGTGGCTGAGAATGGCTGCTCTGTTATCTAAGGCCAGGATTGTTTTTGGCAGCAATCTGTAAACTGAGCTCAAATCATGTGGCTTACATTGAGCAAAGTTTACTATACACATGTATACTGTAGAACAGTGTCCTTTGGAAAATGTCATGCTATGTCTTTATATAATAAATATAGCACAGCACGATAACTGAGATAATTGCCCTTTACTGAGATATTTACACTTCAGTGTCCTTATGCTTATCACTTCCATAATCCTTTATTCCCCAATGCTACATCTCTTTTATTTAAGTCTAGCCTTTCAGAAAGCACATTGATTAAAATGGTCTTGATGGACCAAAAAGTAATTTTCTGTGTTAATTATGCTGAGTCGTCTGATGTGACAGTTTTATATCCACAATTAATAATTCTGGCATAATCATTAGGGATCTGTGATCAGTTTTGTTGGGGAATGCCAGCACTTCGCATCAGCACCAAACTATTTCCTGTTTACCCATGGTTTGTGTTTATTTTCTTTCTCTCCATAGACTTCCAGATGGGTTTTCACAGCTGTTAAACTTGACTCAGTTATACCTAAATGATGCTTTCCTTGACTTCTTGCCAGCTAATTTTGGCAGGTGAGTACAGAACCTTGTTCACTCTTTTTGCATTATCCTTACGATTTAAAGGAATTAATTTTCTATATTCTAACTTGACAAGTGTACTAAATAGTTTAATAGAGAAGGCACTTTATATGCAGATGTGCTAACAAGGACACAGCTTGACTAGGCAAGATTTGCTTTGTTTGATGTAAGGACAGTCTAGTGGTGAGAAACTGATTTTTCCCATAGGTGTCTATAAAGATACACTCAAGCATTTATTTCCAACATTTAAACATACTTAAAGGAGAAGTATGGCCAAAGCTCTTTTGGCCCTACATCTCCAGTAGGTCACAGGAGTGACCCAGTTTCAACCAACAGTAAATCACTGAGCTGGTCCAGACTATGGAGGCAACGCAAGATTAACCCCTTTGCGCCGTCACACAAACATGCGGCATCACAAAAACTGCACTTTTTTCCGTGGGGCCACATATTTGCGTAACTGTGTTTTCTGCTGGGAGCGCCGCACAGCGCGCTCCAGCACAAAGACCGGGGTGTCACTGAGAGCTCCGGGTCCCATTCTAACGATCGGGACCCGAGGCTCCCGATTTTTGGGTCACGTGATCGCTGTGATAGCCTCTGATTGGCTATCACAGTGATCAGTCACTGTACAGCCCAGCCCCCTTGTTTTTTTTTCTCTATGAATGGAGGAGAGAGGTTTATTTATTTATTTATTACAGGTAATTATATACAGCTGTCAATTTGCGCAGCACTTTACATATATATTGTACATTCACATCAGTCCCTAACCCTCAAGGGGCGTACAATCTAAGGTCCTTAACTCACATTCATACATACACATACTAGGGCCAATTTAGACAGGAGCCAATTCACCTACCAGCATGTCTTTGGAGTGTGGGAGGAAACCGGAGTACCCGAAGGAAACCCACGCAGGCACAGAGAGAGCATGCAAACTCCAGGCAGGTGGTGCCATGGTTGGGATTTGAACCAACGACCCGAGTACTGCCAGGCGGAAGTGCTAACCATTTTAGCCACTGTGCTGCCCATTTTTCTATACATTGTGTCTCTCTAACTCCTGGCATAGAGGGTGAAAAAAAAATGTTTGTTTAAAAAAAAAAAAAAAGGATAAAAAATAAATAAATGTTAAAAAATAGAGAAAAAATACCTAGATCAAGGTTTGATCTACTTCAGTGCCAGGGTTTGGGTCAAGGTCAGGGTCAAAGGTCAAAAGGTCAGTGTCAAAGGTCAGGTTTTTTTGTTTTTTTTTTATTTTAAATTGGTATCAGTGTCAGTGTGTTTTAGGTAAAAAGAAAAAGTGCACTATTGTTTCTGGGCTGTACTATGGGTACAGACAACAAATAACATACACACATATGGTATCGCTGCTTATGGTAACACACAGCTAAACTAAAAAAAATATTTTTTTTTACTATTCTGGGCCAGTTTTCCTTTGATAAAAAAAAAAAAATCAGGAGATATCCATTACCATTTACCACTAAATGAAAGCCCAATTTGTCCTGAAAAAAAACAAGGTATAATTCACCTGGATGTACAAAGTAGTTGGGATGATATGTACGGTTTTACTAACACATGTCAACGTTGCAAAATTGTGCTTAGGCATTAAGATTTGTTTTACCCTTCGGTGTGAATTGGTTAATGTTGGTATCCACCCAGATGCCTGAGCAGCAGCTGGCTTAGCCTCTCAGCTCACCGCTGAAAGTCTAAGCCATGTGCTTCCACCCTCTTCACAGCCCAGCGCTCTAGTGAGCACTGGAGGGGCAGAGCAGAGAAAGTCACCAGCTCTCTGCTTACTGAAGACCAAGAACCGAGTGATCAACGGTCTATGATCACCCGGTTTTTAGTCTTTGAGGCTGCGTGGGACAGATGCAGCATTGGACCGATACTGTATCCACCTAGGTGAGTATGAATTACTTTTTTAAATCCTACATTTCTCTTTTAACTGACACAAAAATGCCCGCAATGTCTGTAACCCTCATCCTGGCATTTGTCTTCTTCTCTTGACTGCTAGCTAAGTTCTTATGGCTGATGGTGTCTTTATCTTCTGAATGAACCTGAATTAAAGTGACTTTATTATTAGAGGGTTAAAATTGAAAAAAGAATAGACAAAGGGAGTGGCTTCATACTTCTCATTCCAGGAGTCTGTGTGTTGAAATTTCATCGTGTTGCTGTTGGATGCTGCATGTATTTCACATTTTGGACACATAGAATACTTGCTTCCCTGCCATAGGCTGTGGTTGGGGGGGGGGGGGGGGGGGGGGGGCCTTCTGCCTTCTAGTGCCCACTACTATGGGCCAGTGGGAGGAACCCCAGCTTGCAGCAAGGGAAGCAGGTATTCCACCCACCTGAATGGTCAGATATTTGCAGCAGCCAAGGAGCAGCACTGCAATGGTATTTCTGCAAATAGGCTGCCAGAATGGTAAATATAGAGCCCCTTCTTTTACAAGCACTGACTTGATAAAACGTAATAAAATAGTACATTTAGTAAATTTGTGCTTGATATGCATACATTTTCAGATAACAAATCTATTACCTATTGGAACACACAAAATATCTGAAGAAGTAATTTAAGTCCTAAAATGCCAAATCTTTCTTTGCTGTCAGGAAGTCAATTTTGTATCAAATCATTTTCATTTTATATGCATTACAGTTTGTAGCAGAATCTTGTGTTGGAGTATACAGAAAGGTGATATTGTTGGTGCACAGCTTGAATGTTACACAGTGTTTTATGAAGAACATTGGGATACTTGTACTAACCCCTGACCTAGTGGTGCTTAGAGCTTATGGTTTGTACTGGATTTATAGATAATTAAGCCTGTTAAACTGGCCATATATTGCTCAAATTTTTGCCAATTCCTGTTGGCTCTGCCGAAATTTGAGCATGCTGTAGTCCTGCCGTCGCTGCTCCGTGTGACAAAAGTCGCGTGGGCATCTTTGGTTTTCAGAGTGTGGAAAAAAACAAAACATGCTGGAGAAATTCAAAGTCTGGCTGAACGTGTTGAAATTTTTTTAATTAAATTTTTTTATTTTTTTTAAGTCAAGTTGTATGCAAATGTTTTATGTAATCTACTATATACAGTATGTGAAGTCAGCAGATCATCTGACTTATGCCAACTGTTTTCATTATTGAACTGAATAAAGGCTTGACTTTTGTGCATTAATATTACTTGTCACTGCCCATATTGTGGTTTGTATGCCGCCATCAGCATTTTGTGAGGTCTGACAGACAGGCACACCCTATTAAACTCTACAGCTCTGCACTGCTGAACTCATGAGCCAGCTTGTAAACTTAGTGCCATGGTTTCATTTACAGAACCCACGTGGGAAATCCCCTCAAAGTGGCTAGCACTATACAGTTTTTAAAGGGTGGTATCTGAAGTCTCTGAGTTTTATGCTGTTGGCCTCACATTGATTGCAGATGCTCTTAAAGATTTCCATTTGGTTGCTTTTCACATGGTGCAATTCTTGTGGGCTTTGTAAAAGAGCTGTGCTTCGAATCTAAATCAATGGCCTGAAAGTCATTGTTCTTGTTCAGCACAGTGCGCTTGTTTTATTTTAGATCTAAATACTTGCTCGCCTTGTCCTGTTGAATAACAGTGTAATATAATAAGAGCGGGGCCCTTCCCAGACAGGTCATGAAACATGCATACTCTTCCAGGACGTAATGTTCACAGCCCTGTTCCAGCGTATGCAATCAGAGGTGGAAGTTTCATAATTGCTCTTTTGTTCCTGATGTGCCTGATAACGGCCGTCTACTCATGAAGAACTGGTTTCAGTTATGGGAGGCAGTCCAAAAGATGTCTTGTGTGGCAGCAGACTGTTTTTATGTTTGCATCTCATACATTTATCCTTCAGTAACAATGGAGAAATAATGAATACTACCACTCTGAAAAATGCTGAGGGTTAGTAATATGGCCAGAGAAATAGGACTATAGGCATTTTTTTCATTCTGGATAGAGTAAGGGAGAGTTGTACCCCCTGGCAGTTTTTTTTTTTTTTTACCATCTGTGTCCCATTGGGGAGATTTACTTTCAGTTCCTGTCCTATAGCCAAAACAGGAATTGAGAGGAAAATTTCTGCACGGGGAGCCATCCTTGCCGGGAGAACACAGTGATTTTTGCTAGTGCAATGTAAAACTCCAACATGCTGGTTGTACAACAATCAAATTGGGTACAATCAGTCTGCTCATAGATGGTTCGAATCTTGGCTAGTCCCTGCTGAACTGGCTGAGATTCGAACCATCTATGGCCATCTTAAGTTACACAACACAATTATTTTATATATTTATCACAGGTATATAGTGCATTGCAGGAATGTGCACAAATTTGTGTGCATTCCTGCAAATCAGAAAAACAATCAGCCATTTTGCAGTTGTTAATGGCACCAAGCAACAAGTGCACGTTCGCGTAGCAACAAAGTAACATGCGTTTTTGGTGCGGTGTGATTTTTTTTCAAAAGGGCCATGGACTTTTAATGCATTGTTTGCGTGTAGGGAAGTCTGTTGAAAGCAATAGTCTACCTTAAACGGGGTGCACGAAATTGCGCACTTTGCCACACCTGCATAGGTGTGTACAGAGCCTAATATAGCGCAGACAATTTAGGCAGCACTTTTTACAGTGGATATAAAAAGTCTACACACCTCTGTTAAAATGGCAGGTTTCTGTGATGTACAAAAATGAGACAAAGATAAATAATTTCGGAACTATTTCCACTTTTTAATGTGACCTACAAACTGTACAACTTACCGTATTTTTCGCCGTATAAGATGAACTTTTCCTTCCCCAAAACTGGGGGGGAAATGTCAGTGCGTCTTATGGAGCGGCCGGTCCGGTATTTCCACCACGGCCGTGTCAGAATACCGGGCCGGCCGCTCAGCTCTGCAGCGGGACTTTTCCTGTTCCTCTATCCAGCGGCGTGCTGTCTTCCCGGCTTCTGTAGTGTGGGCACTGGGCACGACAGCCGGGTGCCAAGTGCGCATGCGCAAGAAGCGGTGCTTTTTGTGAATGGTAAGGCGGTACCTGGGACACATGACAGATCCCAGAAGCCGCCGGACCAATCACAAAGCGCAAGTGCTTCTCGCTCATGCGCACTGGGCACCCGGCTGTCATGCCGAGCGCCATTACAGAAGCCGGGAAGACAGAGCGCGGCTGGATCGAGGAACAGGTAAGATCAAACAAAAAACTCTGCGGAAGTAAGAGCGGGTACCTGTCAAATTTAGGTACCCGCTCCCCACCTCCCCAAAGGTCAGCAGTCATCTCCTGTACTGACCGCAGTCTCTGGTCATCCCTGTGCTGTCCGCAGTCTCTGGTCATCCCTGTGCTGTCCGCAGTCTCTGGTCATCCCTGTGCTGTCCGCAGTCTCTGGTCATCCCTGTGCTGTCCGCAGTCTCTGGTCATCTCCTGTACTGTGTCTGCAGTCCATTAGTTCAGAATTTTTTTTTCCTGTTTTCTGCCTCTAAAACCTAGGTGCGTCTTATGGTCAGGTGCGTCTTATACGGCGAAAAATACGGTAATTGAAAACCAAGCTGAAATCTTTTAGGGGGGGGGGGGGAGTAAATATAAAAAACTAAAATAATGTGGTTGCATAAGTGTGCACACCCTCTTATAACTGGGGATGTAGCTGTGTTCAGAATTAAGCAATCACATTCAAAATCATGTTAAATAGGAGTCAGTACACACCTGCCATCATTTAAAGTGCCTCTGATTAACCCCAAATAAAGCTCAGCTGTTCTAATAGGTCTTTCCTGACATTTTCTTAATCGCGTCCAACAGCAAAAGCCGTGCTACGCAGAGAGCTTCCAAAGCATCAGGGGGATGTTATTGTTAAAAGGAATCAGTCAGGAGAAGGGTACAAAAGAATTTCCAAGACATTAGATATACCATGGAGCACAGTGAAGACAGTCATCATCAAGTGGAGAAAATATGGTGCAACAGTGACATTACCAAGAACTGGACGTTCCTCCAAAATTGATGAAAAGACAAGAAGAAAAACTGGTCTGGGAGGCTGCCAAGAGGCCTACAGCAACATTAAAGGAGCTGCAGGAATATCGTGCAAGTACTTGCTTTGTGGTACATCTGACAACAATCTCCCGTATTCTTCATATGTCTGGGCTATGGGGTAGAGTGGCAAGATGGAAGCCTTTTCTTATGAAGAAAAAAACATCTAAGCCTGGCTAAATTTTGGAAAAATACACCTGAAGCATGTGGGTAAATGTGTTATGGTCTTATGAAACTAAGGTTGAACTTTTTGGCCATAATTCCAAAAGATATGTTTGGCGCAATAAAAACACTGCACATCACCAAAAGAACACCATACCCACCTGTGACGGACGAGTGATCGCTGCCAGCAATATGCGACGATCCACGATTGCTGTCACCAATATGTGACGAATGCGGCCTCAGACCCCAGACCTTCTCACCTAACTCGTGACCGAAGGACTAGCCAATCTAAAACCGCGATGTCACGTGCGTAACAATGCCACACTCAGCTGCACCCTGCACAACGATTTTCCAGCTAATTGCACCACAATCGATGCATCGGCAGCCTGAATGTGATTGTTACTGGGTCAGGTTAATTACACAATTAACCTTTCACACTGCCACCACCTCCTTTTTGTACAGAGAAAGAGGAAACTCGACGATATCAGCTATAACACTATAATGGTTGAGATAATTGTCTGTATAAAACGGTCACCGCAGGCCGGTTATACAGAGGGTTAAACAAACACAGTCTCTTCTTTTTTCATCATGCTTCAGACCACCTGCTGATTGCAGTTACATACGAGCTTTCTGACATCTGAGGAGGGCACACTCTGTATGTCCGCTGGTCCGGCTGGAGGTTAATTCTTATTCATGTGATGTCCGCCCATGCCATTTCTCTTTGAGGAGCTACTGGTTGGAAAGGACCCAGAGGTGATCTGCAATATGCTTTGTGGCCCTGTGGGGTCATAGAGTGGAGGGTGAGAGGCCATTGCAGCCAGACTGCCTTGGATCACGTTTGGAGTGTGCTGTGATTCACCTGCACGTTTTAAAGATATGAAACTATGGACACTGCATTTTGCACTAAGCCACTATTATCTACCTGTTAAGGGTTTTTTGCCTGTTCCCATATCCCCCGTGGATGTGGGTTATCTACTATCATATTTAGTTTATTATATGTGTTTTCTGTTAGCGCTGCATCATTTTTATATATTAAACAAACACAGTAGCATCTCTTTTAGAGGCAGGAATTCGTAAATTGCAGTTAGGAGCTATAAAAACAGTTTCACACTTTCAGAAGGAAAGATTTATTACTAAAAGGTCAAACGGGTGCAATAAAAATATTTACAGAAAAAGATGTAACTAAGATATATATATATATATATATATATATATATATATATATATATATAATATAAAGAGACCAACAGCACAGCAAAGAGATATCAGAGAGAGGTGAAAGGGTTAAGGTACTTGCCAAAGTCCTGGGTTAGCAGATCCAAGTTTCAGAGCGAAAGGGCACGGGTCTCCCCAGGTGATACTGATGTTAAAAAGGGAGACGTCTTCAACTTTTTTCTCCTTAGGCCTGACAACCCAATTTGTAGTTCCCTAGCAGGGGGTGTCTCTAAAATCAAGGACCAATACCCCGTTTAGGGTGTGGAGGTCTGGGTGTAGCCCTAAACTAGAACCAAAATCTCGTGTAGTTCATATTTTGGCTCAAAACTTTTCCTATGCACAAGTGACACTCCACCCGAGGGTAGATTATGATGCAGACACGTCTGAGGATTGATTAGATATGAATTATGAAATTGTACACTGAATGGTTCCCGAGATCTACTTTTCTGCTATCCTATGTATTGAGACAAAGAGAGTGACCCATCAAATTGTTCGTCTCCTCTTAGCCAATCTGACGAAATGTCTGGTTTTTATGTAAGTCGCTCATATTCCAAGATACGAGACATAGGGAAAAAATGGATTTTGAAAAGTGTTTATCTGATTGTGTTTCCTGGGAATGTTCTTTGAACTCCTGGGAAAGCTTGCCTTATCTTATACGAAGTGTTACATTGCACAGGTTCTTTGGACAGCTAGGCCCCAGCTCCCTTGGAGACTTTATAGCTCCTAGCCCCCTGCTGGGCCCTGGCCTCCTGTGACACTCCTAACACACACACACACACACACACACCTGTGACTGTCAGAGAGGGAGGGGGGAAGAATGAGGGAATAACATGGATACTCTTAACAAAATGGAGGTAGTGTCCTGCCTCTGGTGTGCATGTTCACGACACCACCGTGAAGCATGGTGGTAGCAGCATCATGCTTTGGGGCTGTTTTTCTTCAGCTGGGACTGGGGCCTTAATCAAGGTAGAGGGAATTATGCACAGTTCCAAATACCAGTCAATATTGGCACAAACACTTCAGACGTCTGTTAGAAGGCTGAACATGAAGAGAAACTTCATCTTTGAACATAACAACCCAAAGCATACATGGAAATCCGCAAAGGAATGGCTTCACCAGAAGAAGATTAAAGTTTTGGAATGGCTCAGCCAGAGCCCAGACCTGAATCTGATTGAACATCTGTGGGGTGATCTGAAGAGGGCTGTGCACAGGAGCTGCCCTCACAATCTGACAGATTTGGAGTGTTTTTGCAAAGAAGAGTGGGCAAATATTGCCAAGTCAAGATGGGCCGTGCTGATAGACTCATACCCAAAAAGACTGAGTGCTGAAATCAAATCAAAAGGTGCTTCAACAAAGTATTAATGTAAGGGTGTGCACACTTATGTAACTATATTATTGTATTGTTTTATTTTTACTTCCCTCCACCTAAAAGATTTCAGTTTGTTGTTCAACAGTTTATAGGTTACATTAAAGGTGGAAAAAGATCTGAAATTATTTATCTTTGTCATTTTTTTACATCACAGAAACCTGACATTTTAACAGGGGTGTGTAGACTTTTTATATCCACTGTATACTGTACATTCACATCAGTCCATGCCCTCATGGAGCATACAGTCTAAGGTCCCTAGCCTACATGGTGATATACATGCATATACATACTAGAACCAATTTCGGCAGGAGCCAATTAACCTACTAGCATGTCTTTGGAGTGTGGGAGGAAAGTACGCAAGGAAACCTGCAGGCACAGGGAGAACATGCAGATAGTGTCCTGACTGGAAATTGAACTAGTGACCCCAATGTGGCAAAGCAGGAATACAGTGAACCATTCTAGAAAATGTTTGCTCTCTGTTCGTTCTTTGCTTTATATTTTGGAAAATTTTGCATATAGTGTATGAAAAAGCCAACTATAAAAAATCTAATTCTGCTATACTCCTTTGCATTTGCTGTTTTGAAGACTTATATTATCCTTAAGATATTCTTTTCCCTATTGAGATGCATAAAGAGCCTTAACAGAACATCATTTTCTGACTGCATGTATGAATGATTGCTGCAGGTTGACAAAACTTCAAATTCTGGAGCTTCGGGAAAACCAGTTGAAAATGTTACCAAAGTAAGTGACTTTTTTTGTTTGTATAATTTTTAACTTACACTGATACGTTAAATTAATCTTATAAGCGATTGTTATTCTTGTGATCAATCTGGGATCCAGGAATTACATTACATTACATTGAGTTTATATAGCGCCAAAGGGGTTTGCTCTGCGCTGTACAATAGAGGGGGGGACAATACATGAAACATTACAGCAGCTACGAACTGCACACGAGGGGGTAAGAGGGCCCTACTCTTTCGAGCTTACAATCCGGGAGGGAGGGGGTAGTGGTACAGGAGGAAGCCTCCCCCCCGGCTGTGGGGATGGAGTGGTAGGAGGTGCATTGATGAAGGAGAGCAGCAGTTAGGTGAGGGTGGGGTAGGCTTCCCTGAAGGGGTGGGGGGTCAGGGAGCGCCTGAAGGTGAGGAGGGAAGGTGACAGTCTGATGGATTGGGGTAGTGAGTTCCAGAGGATGGGGGAGGACCTGGGAGAAAGTCTTGCAGACGTGCGTGTGAGGAGGAGACCAGGGGAGCAAGATAGAAGGAGGTCCTGTGAAGAGCGAAGGGTACGGGTAGGGTGGTACTTGGGAATCAGGTCGGTGAGGTAGTTAGGGGCCTAGTGTTGTGAATGGCTTTGTAGGTCAGAGTGAGTAGTTTGAATTTGATGCGTTGGGCGATAGGGAGCCAGTGGAGGGAGAGGAGGCAGAGGGGGGTGGCAGAGGTGGAGCGGCTGGTGAGGTGGATGAGTCTGGCAGCTGAGTTCAGGATGGTCTGAAGCGGGGAGAGTTTGCACTGGGGTAGCCGGTGAGGAGGGAGGTCAGTTGCAGTAGTCAAGGGCGTGAGATAATCAGGGAAGTGCACAAGTAGTTGGTAGCGGTTTGTCTGGGGGTAAGGAAGGTGCAGTATTTTGGCGATATTGCGGAGGTGGAGGCCTGCATGTGTTTGTCAGTGATTTGACATGAGGGTTGGGGGGGGAGAGGTTAGAGTCCAGAATGACCCCAAGGACTTTGGCTTGCGGGGCGGGATTGATGGTGGTGATGTTAGTAGTGATGGATAGGATGGGGGGGGGGGCGCGGGCAGGAGGGAAGACGAGAAGCTCGGTTTTGGAGAGGTTGAGTTTGAGAAATGGAGCGACATCCAGTCAGAGATGTCGTTTTAGGAGGTGAGTGATGCGGGGCGGGAGAAAGTGGAGGTGAGGTGAGGGGTGGAGAGGTAAATTTGAGTGTCATCAGCATAGAGATGGTAGTTGAAGCCGTGGGAGTGTATGAGTTTGCCAAGGGAGGAGGTGTAGATGGAGAAGAGAAGGGGTCCAAGGACAGAGCCCTGGTGGGACCCCAACAGAGAGGGGGAGGGAAGGGGAGGGTGGCACCATTGTAGGAAACGCTGGAAGGAGCGTCGGGATAGGTAAGAGGAGAACCAGGAGGGGGGGTAGGCGGTGTCTCTGACGCCAAGGGAGGAATAGTTTATTAAGGAGGAGGGGGGGGGTCAACTGTGTCGAAGGCCGCGGAGAGGTCCAAGGAGGAGGAGGACAGAGTAGTCGCCTTTGGCTTTGGCGTGTTTGGTTAAGTAGGTCGTTGGTGATTTTGAGGAGGGCGGTTTTCGGTGGAGTGGGTAGGGGACGGAAGCCGGGGACTGTAGTGGATCAAGGAGGTTGTTGTCCAGTTAGGTGGGCGCTTAGGCGGTTGTAGACTAAAGCGCTCCAGGAGTTTGGAAGTGTGAGTGGCAGCAGGGGGATGGGTCTGAGGTTGTTTGGGTCAAGAGGGGTCCAGGGAGGGCTTTTTGCGAGTATGGGGGTGATGATGTGCGCATGCTTTAGGGGGGGAGGGGAATACGCCGGGGGTTAGAGAGGGAGAGATTGAAGATGTGGGTGTGGGAGCAGATGAGGGAAGAGGGGGGGACTGGAGGAGTCGAGAGGGGATAGGGTATAGGGGGCAGGTAGTGAGGCGGGCTTCAGAGAAGACCCTGGTGACTTCCTCAGTGGTAGCGGGGCTGAAGGAGTGCAGAGCTGGTGGGGGTTTACGGTAAGCGGGGTCTTGGGTGTGGACAGGGGGGCAGTGCGGGTTGCGAGGTCAGAGGAGGGAAGAGATGAGGGGGAGGATAGGGGGGGGGGGAGGCTAGGTGGGGAGGGTAGATTGCGAGTTGACTATGTCCTGACGGATAGCATCAATTTTATTGTGGAAATGAGTGGCAATCTCGTGGGCGGTGAGTGAGGTACTGAGTGGAGGAGGGGGGGGAGAGACAGGGGAGTTGAAGGTGGAGAAGAGTCGGCGAGGGCAGGAGGAGAGGGTGTTACTCAGGTTTACGAAGTAAGCCCGCTGGCGGCGTGGGGGAGGAGGTGTAAGTGAGGAAGGCAGATTTGTAGAGGGAGAACATGAACGGGGGGACCTGGTTTTGCGCCATAGTCTCTCCAGCGCACGACCCACTAGCGACGTTTGAGGCATTTAGTGTGGTCGTTCTGCCATGGTTGGAGCGGTCTGGGTTTGATGTAGCGTGTGGTTAGGGGTGCCAGAGAGTCTAGGGTAGCTGATAGTGAGTCGTTGTACGTGTTTAGTGGCTAGGTCAGGACAAGACAGTGGAAGGATGCTGTCGTGTAGGCGGTCGGCAGCTGAGTGGAGGGGGGGCCGGGTTCAGGTTGCGAAGGTTGCGGCTGGTGATGGTTTGGCGCTCTGGGGGGGGGGAGAGTTAGGGGAAGGGGGAGATGGAGAACGTGAGGAGGTGGTGGTCGGAGAGAGAGGAAGGGGGTGTTAGAGAACTGGTTGGGGTACAGAGGTGGGGGAGAAGACGAGGTCCAGGGTGTTCCCAATGATGTGGGTGGAGGATTGAGTGTGCTGTGTGAGCGCGAAGGAGGAGGTTAGGTGGAGGAATTGGGAAGTAGCCGGGCTGTTGTCATTGATGGGGATATTGAAGTCCCCGAGGATGATGGTTGGTAGCTCAAGAGGAGAGGAAGAAGGGAAGCCAGGCAGCGAAGTCATCCAGGAAGCGGGGTATGGATCCGGGAGGCCTGTAGATCACTGCGATCCTTAGGGGGGTGGGTGAGAAGAGCCGGATGCAGTGAGCCTCGAAGGAGGAAAAGTTAGGGAGGGAGGATTAGGGAGGACCTGGAAGGTGCTCAGCGGTGATAGGAGCAGGCCGACCCCACCACCTTTGTGACCGCTCAGTCTTGGTGAATGGGACCAGACGAGACCTCCATAGGAGAGTGCCGCAGGGGAGGTGGAGTCAGTGGCCCTGTACCCAGGTTTCGGTGATGGCTAGGAGGTTAAGGGAGCGGGAGATAAAGAGGTCATGGATGGCAGTAAGTTTGTAGCAGACCGAGCGGGCGTTCAGGAGTGCAACCGAGAGAGGGGGGATGGATGCGGGGAGAAGGGGCACAGATATGAGGTTGAGGGGGGGGGTTACGGCAGCTGGCGGGAGCAGGGGGGGTCCCTAGTGGAGGGGTGAGGTGGGCGAGGGGCCAGGGTTCGGGGAGATGTCCCCAGCAGATAGGAGAAGGAGAAGGGTGAGGAAGGTGGCATGGGAATGGGAAGTGTAGGAGCGTGTGGGTCTGATAGTGGTGGCACGTGGGTCGACGGGGATGAGTGGAGTAGCAGGAGGAGGTGGTGAGTGCCGTAGTGGGGAGAGAGGGGAGTAGTGAAGGGGCAATGTAGAGCTTGTTTTGGGGGGGTAGGCGGGTAGAGGGAGGTGATTTTTGGGATGGTGGAGAGGAAAATGAGGAGGAGGAGTGCAGGAGGCATGTTGGGGTGGGTGCGGTGACAGTTGGGTCAGGGGAGGTGAAGGGATACAGGTCAGGGCAAGGTGTGTGGGGAATCTGTTGTTACCATGGGAGAGTCATTTGAGTCCTTCTGTAGGGGTAGAGTGAGGGTGGAGGGCGGCAGCTGGTTGGCAGCAGTCTTGGGTGCAGTAAGCTGGCGACCATGGGTGCTGTGGCATGTCTTCAGTGGGTACGGTGGTTCGGCTAGTGGAGGGGTCGTAGGGTGTGCGATGGCTGGGGGTGATGGTAGGCACGGCGACTGGTGATGCTGGCGGCTCGGTGACTGGGGTTGTTGAGGCCAGGCGTCGGGTGCTGAGGGCTCGGCGTCGTGAGGCGCTGAAAGGTGTTGAAGGATCGTCATCAGAGTCGAGCGGGGCGTTGCGGTAGCGATCGTCGGCCCCTGGCGTGGTTTGTGCTCAACCCGTGATCTGTTGCGGCCGGTAGGAGAGACCGCAGCTTCAAGGGTCGTGGTGGGCCATTAGTCGCCGGGGCGTCGCCAGAGGGAATAGCGTGCCGGAAATCAGGGTGCTGGGCGAGCGTTCCCTGGTGTGGTGGCTGGCTGGTAATCCCAGGTGGGGTGGTGGGCAGGGGATCCCCGGTGGGATGGTGGCCGTGCTATCCCTGGTGGGGTAGTAGCGATCCCTGGAGGGATAGTGGCCTTAGGGTCCCTGGTGGTTTGGGGTTTCAGGTGGATGGTGGGATCCCTGAGTGAGTGAGTCCCTGGAGGCTGGCGGTGTGATGGTGGTTGGGCTCCCTGGTGGGTAGTGGGCGCCCCTGGTGAAGTACCTGGTGTCCTGGAGCGTCGGTGGATCCCTCCTGGGTTAGCAGGACCGTTGGTGGTGGTGGTAGCTTCCCGGAGCAGCAGAGGCGTCCCGCCGCGGCCGCAATTCCCGCCGCGATTCCAGCCACGGCTGGCAGGAAACACCGCGGCTTCGGGTGCCGCGGTAGGCCTCAGGCTGCTGCGAACCGCCGGAGCTCCGCTGGAGGGACGGAGAGTGACTGTGGGTGTTGGTGGGGACCTCGGCAGCAGACACAGGGGCCCGGATGGGCCCTGATGGCAGCGGTAGGGGCGCAGGGGTGATCCCCTGATCGGCGGGGACCGAGGAGCGGAGTGGCAGTAGTCCGGGCTGATGTTCCGGCGATCCTGGTTTTAGGTCGGCCGCGCCAGAAATCGAGAAGCCGCGGCTTCAGGTGCCGGGTAGGCCGCAAGTCCCGGAGCTCCGGGAGAAAGGTTCCAGTGGCCTTCCCTGGCTGGCGAACACAGGGACCGGAGG